AGGGAGGGAGGGAGCGAGCGAGCGAGCGAGCAAGGGAGGGGAGAGAGTGGGAGAGGGAGGGAAGTTGCGGGGTGAGGACCCCCACTACTCTGACCCCCCCCCCTTTCCGGGAGACTGAGTAGATGCCTGGATACTTTGACTTCCGTTCCTGATCTCGTATGACACAGTACCCTCCATCTGTTTTGCTTACCTTTAGACACGACCATAAATTTTGCGGGGCTTGATCCGAGATTAATACCGTCGGTCGAAAAATTCGGAAGTTCTCCGATCAGCCTGCTCCAGAGCAGGAAGATCGGATTAATCGCTTCCTTCGACCAAATGAAAAGTCAGTGATCGGTGGTCATCGTCCGCCACGCCAGGACACAGCTCATAGCTCATGGCAGAGTCCAGGCGGCTTTTGTCCTGGTTGCTATCGATCGGGGTGTACCCGTGGCGGCTGGCGCGGCGGCGGCGCCTATGGCAGCGCCCGGCCGGCCCCCAGGCCTCATGGACAGTCGACCTTTCACCGGGCTGCGCCGGGCTGGCCCGCCCTTGCCAGCCAGAGCCCGCGCCGCTCCGCGCCGTGGCCTGCAGCGGCCGGGGCGGAGGGTTGCAGCGGGCGCGGGGCGGGGCGGCAAGCGGCACGGGTACGCTGTCCACCGAATGGCGAGGCAAATGCTCCACTCAGTGGTCTAACTGGGATGCCGCCCGGGCCGGGGGTGGCAGGCTCGCAGCGCCGCCAGCTCGACAGCATGGTGACCGCCGAGCTGGCCCCGCATACGGCCATCGACGCGGGGACGAGGGCGGGATATAACGCGGCCAAGAGTGGGCAGTGGGGCGCGTCAAAGGTCCCTTGGAGCAGGGTGTGCCAGGCACCCGCTGCAGCACCGGCCATCAGGCCAGTGCCCAACGCGGCCAGGTGCTAATGCGGCGAAGCCCGACAGAAACGAACCGTGAAAGGTTTTGGGAGCGTTCGTGGTTTGGCAGTTTAAGCCTCCATCGCACTGCCGCCATGCCGCTGTATTGCATTGCGGTCTAGAATTACTTGACGCAAGGGGACTGGGTGGAGGAAAATATATGAAAATAATAAGTCAAGAAGATGGGTCACGCGGGGAAAGGCGGTGGGGAGGGGTAGCTAGGGGGAAGGTCACATCACGCCTAATGGGGAGCTGGCTCGGGTACAGAAGGGCGGGTGAGCATTGCCGACCTCACTAAACGGAAGGAGGGGGAGAAGGGAGACCAGGCGAGGGGTTTTTCACCAGGGGCGTGCTCGGTGGAGGGGAGGGGGGGGGATACCTCCCTCAGAAGACAGTGGGCCACGTCGCAAGCCTCCCCATCGGCGTGGCCTTTCAGAACCCGTCCGCCGGGGCGCGCCCTGCTCTGATACCCACCGACCTCAAACTTCCATTAGTTTTGTGAAACGCACGCCAAAGGGTTTTTTCGTCAACACTAACGTTTCCTTCCTCACCCCGCGCAGCTGTCAGGCGTGGGCATCATCGCGGCCGGCGCCGTGGTCCTGGGGCAGTTCGGCGGCTCGCAGCGCTTCCTGGAGGACCGCATCCTGGCGCCGCCCATCGTGCTCATCGTGGCCGGGGCCATCGTGTTCCTCGTCGCCTTCCTGGGTTGCTGCGGCGCCATCAAGGAGAACTACCTCATGCTCATCGCGGTGAGTGTACTATGCCAGGCGGTGTGCGCTTGAAACCACCCCATCAATATCCGCAACCGAACAGGCGCGGTTGTAAGTTTGTCTAACGGAGGGGGCCATTTATTGTGAGTTGCCTGCTTTCAGGGGTTTTGTAGAACAAATTGCCTACCCACCCACCTACCCTAGGGAGTGATTTGGGCCGACGATGAGGCGATCGCCACCCCCCCCC